GCCCGCTGTCTGGAGGATGTTTATGCTCGGTCCCGCCTGCTGATGCTGTTTTGATTTGCTGCGTGCTTGCGATATTTTTCGGAGCCAAATTAGTTTTTTGCGAGTGTGTCTATGAAGCAGGGGCGTGGTTTGGCGAAACAAGCTGGCGCGAGTAGCGTTTCCCTGGGAAGGTCAACATGGTGTTAGTCCTTAATTGATTTTTACTTGCATCAATTGTATTTTGCATGGTGTCTGAGGAAGAAGGGACGGGGAGGGAAGTTGGGCTTTTTTGGGGAGGGGGAGTCTCTGTTAAGCTGCACGGTTTAACTGCAAGTGCGGGGCTCGAGTCATTCGAACTGAATACACATGCTGTCCTAAGCACCTACCTTTAGTTGTCCTATGTATTCCATGTATTGCATAAAGCTGGCAATCCATTCATCCAGACAGTCAGATACCAGATAATCCGACAGTGGGAACTAACGGTTCAGCTCGCAGCAATCCTATGTAGACGAAGACGGGGAGGGGGGGGGGATAAGAGTTGTGTCCCGTGGAATATTGGGCAAGGTGCGCATCGGCCATTTGAACGAGCCCAATTGTTTAGACACCCCAGATGTCCGAGCACTCACATAGCCGCTGTAAGCTGCGATTCACGCGTTAGGGCCTGCCACGACGAAATATTAATCGCCCTAAAGCACACCCCATTTGGATGCGAATCCACCGCGACCGCGACTGACAAATGCCGACATTCTAATGTGCGAAGTTGGTCGCTAATGTTGGCAGCGGGCCTCCTCGCTAAGTGTTCCCTCCAACTTTGTGGCGGGCTGGCCGGGGCGGGGGGCCTCCCTGGAACTCTCTGGAGGGCCGGGTCTGAGGCGTCCGGGGGTCAAGTCTGAGGCGTCCGATATGTGGCTTGTGGTCACGATATATGTATATGTATATGTTTATATATATATATATATATATATATATATATATATGTATGTATGTATGTATACATATACATGTACATCTATCTATTTATCTATCAGATAGATAGATAGGTAGATAGATAAATAGATATAGATATGCGGTCTCGTATCACGTTCTGTTGCCAGTGTAGATGGCTTAAGAGCGGATGTCTGGGGTTACGCTCGGAGGGCTGGATCTGGGCTCCGAGGGCTGGGCCCACTAGCAAGTGCCGAATCTGCGCCCCAAGCATCGGGGCCGGTGTGCAAAGGTCGTGCGAAAGGCGTGAGAGCTGAGGTCTATGGGCCAGCTAGCGCTTCGGGCCAACCAGCTCCGGCGACTGCAAAAACGTCCTGCCGAGAAATAATGGCTCTGTCGCCGCCGGCTCGGGTGGAAAAGCGCCAGACGAAGCGGAATTTTGACGGATTATCTGGTCTCAAAATGGGTCAACGGCGTCGTCAGTCAGCAGCAGCGAGTGCACCGTCAATTATTTGCGTCGCGTGTCTACCCCTCCGCTAAAGGCCCCCTGACCTACAAAGCCAAGCGGTGGCCCTGTTCCAGACCTGGGCTATCAGCAAAAAGCACGCAGAGCGAACACTGTAGTCACTAGCTGGACCTATGGGTTGCGCGTAGCGACGCGAACAAAGAGGCGTGTGGACGCACCGAGTGTTGAGTGAAAACTATGGGCTTGAACATTCATAGCATTAGTTGGGATGAAGGACATGAGAGGAAGACGAGTATTTCACGTCCCGATTGCGGTAACTGTATTAATGTATTTTGAATGTATGTGTGGCTGATGGTGTGTACACGCCAGCAATTCACCCAGTTGCACGCTTGAGTTCGAAATCATCCAGATTTGGGAAGGTGGCACGCTCTAAATCATCTCTGGTCCAACCCTAATTTTTATCTGATGTCACTTAGGATCCGACTTCATCCCTCATTCGACGTCATCTCTGATCCGACATCATCTCTTATCTGATATCAGCTCTGATCCAACATTATCTCTGATTCGACATAATCTCTAATCCGACATCATCTGCCTCTTAAGTTAACGAGTCAACAGCACTGGCAACTACAACTTATCATATTGCCATGGCATCAGCTTTTGGCCCAGATTACTATGGTTTAGAATAAATACTTCCACATCTGCTGCTGTTCAACACCGGCTGGGAGCCTGCTGTCCCACTCCGGAGTGGTTCCGGTTGACATAGTGAAGTGCCACTGTCCCCTATCTGTGCCGGCCGTGCTTCTGACACGCGATCTGGGGCGCTGCATGTCACCGGACGCCGTATGACGCTGTTGGATCCGTCAGCACCTCCTGGCCAGGGTGGCCAGGTTTAGTTTCAGTTTGTCGAACGGGAAACTCGAGCGTGTTGAGTTGCACCGTATACGCACAAGAGCCGGAAATGAGTCGATTTCACTTGGCCTGACATTCCGATTCATCGATAAGTGGGACGTGCCGGTTAAAAATTATGCTGCTTTTAGTCTGAGGTCATACGACGCCTGGCGCGCGCGTGTGTGTGTGTGTGTGTGTGTGAGTGTCCGTGTGTGTGTGTGTGTGTGTGTGTGTGTGTGTGTGTGTGTGTGTGTGTGTGTGTGTGTGTGTGTGTGTGTGTGTGTGGTGTGTGTGTGCGTGTGCGTGTGTGTGTGCGTGTGTGCGCGCGTGCGTGCGTACGTGCGTGCGTGCGTGCGTGCTTGTGTGAATGTGTGTTTACTTGCATCTGTAAGTATGCGTGTGTGAATGCGTGAATGCGTGTGTGTGCGTGTGCGTGAGACCAGCTCCTCCACAGCCATCGATCTACACGTGACCGGCGTCTGAACGGCAACCGGCCTTGCTCACGCGTGAATTGGTGTGACCTTGTACCTCGAGTGACTAGAGCATGCATCACCTGCGTGGCTATCATGTCTAGTGGATGTACCCGCGTACCCGTGTGCAGTGAATGTACCCCCGCGTTCCGAGTGCAGTGAACGTACCCGCGCATCCGCGTTCCGTACTGGCTGCGACACTTGGCGCACCATCAAGGGGGCGTGGGGGGCGCAAGGGGGCGTGACCACCGGGCTTCAAAATTGAACAAGAAAATAAGGGCAGCGAGAACAGAAACACCACTTACTTTCCTGGTCATGTCTCAGTTTAACAGTCTGCCTTTATTGGACGCGGTCCGTGCGTCACGGCTCTTACGTTCCCTCGTTCTCATTCTCACGGCTGATACGTACCCGCCAACCCCGGATGACGCGTCATAAGCTACTGTATTATTCCAAGTGCAGCTCCGTAACAGCGCACGATGTGTAATACTCGTGAATATCTGCAGCATTTGAAAAAAGCGATCAACTCGCATAGCGTACATGTTCTGCTGACGCGGACAGCCCGTCTCTCACGCCTGTATGCACGACACGCGCGAGGCGCAGTCTGCTGGGAGGCGGGTTCATGCTCCGTGCCGAGGTAACTCCTGTGCAGCTCCCCCTAATCCGCAGCGCACACTCGCCGCCTCGCCCCGGCGGCGCCTCCCGGCGGGCGCGTGCCCCGCAGCGGCCCGCGTGACGCCTCGCCCGGTGCCGGCAGGCGACCGTGGCAGCGACAGCGACGCGAGCGTGCGCGTGCCCAGCCCGTCGCAGGCGTTCGTCGAGGACGACTCGCTGCCGGAGCCGCGCGGCCTGCCCCAGTCGGGCCTCGTGCTCGTCGTGCCGACCCTCATCAACGGCTACGGCGCGGCGCCGCCCGGCCTGGGGTCTGTGTGACCGGCGGAGGCGGCCGCGCCGCCGGTCGGGCCCGTGCAATACTCAGCGCTGTGAACGATGCGCCGGCCCCATGCGACCGATTCCAGGCCCGGGGCCCGGCGCGCGCCGCGCCACCCAGTCCAGCCGCACACGCATCTCCGTAGCATCACCAGTGATATTGCCACCACATATTTTCTCCAGATGTTTTACAAATGATCCTTTCGCATACTCAGCGGTCGCACAGTAGCGTAGGGCGCGAGCGGGCCGGCAGTAGCGGCGCGCGTCGCTCCCGGGCAGCGACTAGCGGCGCCGCCGCGTCACCTGCTGTTTTTTATACCAGGATGTGGATGCTCCGTGGAAGATGTGCCGAGCGAGAGCGGTCGTTACATAATCAAAACTAGACGGTAGTACAATCTTGCGACGGTTGGCACTGGGAATGCATTGTGATATTTCTCTAGTGAATGCACTGCTATTTATTGGGTCGGCGGCTGGCGTGGTGGCGCCAGGTGAGCTCCGTGAGCGTGCGCCCGGCCACGTCGCTGTCCACTACGCTCGCTCCCGTCCAGCGACCCGGGCGTCGACAGCTCTCAGCTCCGCTCCCTTGGCTAGGCAGGCAGCCGTCTGGCCCCGGCCAGCGGGCCCCCTCGAGCCCCAGGGGTCCGGCCGGGCCGGGCCCAGGCGGCTCCAACCCCGCACGGCCGCTTGTTCTAGTACCGACCGCCGACGGCGCTGGTCTGCAGTCGGCGCGCGCCACCTCCCACCCACACGCCCGTCTCACTCTGCCACCCAGAACCGCTGACCCCGACTTCAATGCTATACCCTAGTGAAGAGCGGTTGGCGACGCGTTTAGCCGGCTTTACGCGGCACGTTATCAGTCAATAATACAAGGTGCGGGAGACGTGTCGTCTTTGCTTGGCAGCGGGGCGCCCAGTGGTCGCCCCGGACGCCGACTCCTGCCGGGTCTTCAGCATCGACGTCCGGACGTGCTTCATCGAACACGTGGGCCGGCCAGCGCGTCCGTGACCGCCGACTGCGTGGGCGGACTGCAGCCGGCCGGCCGCCACCGTCTCCAATGCGACCAAACTCGTGCAGACGCACAAAACAAGTGTATGATTTAGGTAGCCGGCACACACGGACAGAGCGCGACACAACACGATGCGGTAAAGCTGGGACCGGCCGCGGCGCCGCGCGGAGGCAGCCGGTGACGTCACTCCCAGCGGCCGGGTGACGTCACTCGGAGCGGCCGGCCGCCGTCAGCGGCCTCCCTGAGCGGGACGGGTGGCGGCCGGGCGCCGGAGGGCGGCAGGGGAGCGGAGAGAGCGGCGCGCAGCAGGAGAGAACGGCCGGCGCACCGGCCCCGCGGCCCCGGTCCGCCGGCGGGCAGCCAGCGATCAGCGCCATCACAGCCGACAGCCGGCGCCACGCCGTCTAGGGCGACGTGTCGGCCCGGTCCGAGCGCGCCCGCTTCCGCGCCGAGGCGCCCTCGTCCACGTCCGCACTGCCGGCGCTGCGCTTCTTGGACTGGTCCTGCAGCTGCGGACAGACGGCTGGCATTAGGCGGGTGTCGGCGGCCGGGCCCCGGCCAGGCAGTGGCGGTCAGCGGGCGTGGATTTATCAACGGACCCATTTCATATTGCTTCCGGCAACGCTCCTGGACATGACAATATGAATGACCCGGCCTGAGTTGCACTTAACCTTGCCAAGCGCGTTTCTCCCGCCCTCCGGTGTACCAGAGCCGCCTGCCAGGCCCACAAACTTTTTCCATTATTTTACTATGCAAACAAACGAAATAAAACGAGTTGGTTTGATACGCTCGTCGATTTCTTGCGCAAGGCCGCGACTGCAGCCCCAAACGTAAATATCATTGATCGACAGGATCCCGATGCATAGGTAGAGGCTTCCCAAAGCGGCTCGCCGAGCAACGATTCAAAACAAGCGATGAACACGTACCCGTGCGCCACATCCAGAAGCGCCCACTCACCTTTTTCTCCCACCTCCAGTGAAGGTATCGCAGAAGAATGTTTGTTTTCTCGGTCACAATCACTGTAAAGAAAAGAAGAAGGCGGGAAGTCAGCGGCCGCTCAGTGCCTTATCACGAACAATCGAGCCCCACGGATGGAAACGACACTTTGCCCGCTTCCGCTAAGCGCCTGGAAAGTGGTCGGCTGGCGGGCAATAGGCCCCGGACGACGCCACACTGTCCTGCGGCACACTGGGCTTCGTCGGGACTCCCGGGGAAGGACGCCAGATCGGAGCACAAGCTGTACGTGAGGCAGAAGAGGACGAGACCCAAACATTACGAAACACGAGATTGCTTCAGCTGTTCACATGAATACTCTACCAGCGCATGAACACCACACGAGGGTGCGTACGCACCCTTGGCATCACGTGTGAGCATGCCGCTAACAAATGAGGCTCTACGCCCGTGCCATAGCGATCCGCACTGGTGAGGAAACACTCGTTGGACAGAGCAGACCAGCCCAGCCCGGCTCGCAGGACAAGGCAGCACACGGTCAGCCGCTGGCCGCTGGTAGACCAGCGCAGCCTGGCTCGCAGGACAAGGCAGCACACGGTCAGCCGCTGGCCGCAGGTAGGCCAGCGCAGCCCGACCCGCAGGACAAGGCAGCACACGGTCAGCCGCTGGCCGCTGGTAGACCAGCGCAGCCTGGCTCGCAGGACAAGGCAGCACACGGTCAGCCGCTGGCCGCAGGTAGGCCAGCGCAGCCCGACCCGCAGGACAAGGCAGCACACGGTCAGCCGCTGGCCGCCAGGTCCAGGGCGCGATTTCGCGACCTCATTAGCGCGTAACAGCTCGGAAATTCCATGCCATCTGCATATCCGGCGCCGCCCACGCGAACCCGCTGTTGACGGCGGGGCACGGGGTCACCCCCGGCGGCGGCTCAGACTGCAGATCAGGCGCGGCGTGACCACGCCGCCCTCCGCACGGCCGCCACGAGGAGCAGCGCTTGCCCGGCCGACACGCGATGCGACCGGCCAGCCACGTCCCCCGGCCCGGCCTGACATGCAACGCCTCGGGAGGGCGCTAGCGCGCGGCGCGGCGCCGCGCCACCCAAAGGCGTCTCTTATGCTTCGGGCTCCGTGTGTTGACGCGTGTGGGTGGATGTGAGCGGCGTGGCACAACAGACAGGGCCTTCATGTGGCCACAACCACATGGAGTTGGTTCACTCTTGGCTACGGATTAGCCTCGGTCAGGACGTGGGTGTTGACGCAGCCCGCCGCGGTCTTCGAAGCCACCTTCCCAACAGCGCGACGCAGCGTTTTAAAAGTTTGACTGCCTCCGTTCTCGAAATTTTACGCAAGTTCCCGCTTTACACTAAGCCCAGTCACTCCCTCATGACCCATTCGTTAAAGGTGTGCATGGCGAACAGGTCAACAATCTCTGTTTTGCAGCACATTTTCCGCTTCGAATGCACCAAATGTTCACGCCCAGCGCATCGGTGGATTCCATTAGTGCCAATGCGATGTGAAGGTCACCCGAGATCAAGGTCCCCTTAGGTCAGGCAGAATGTCCGGACCGCCCGGTGTCGTGAGCAGTCATTTCACAGTTCACCGACGCTGCCTGACGCAAAGGGCGATACGGTGCGTGGCCATTTAGTCATCGCACCTTACCAGGTCCTCAGTGCCATGGAGGGTCATGGATCGTCCTCAGCCCTCAGGTGACCTCAAAACCCTGACATCCTCTGCGCTCAGATGACCCCAAATCCTTCACAGAAGTATGCGGTGGCGACCAAAACTAACGGCCATTTTACTCCAGATTTTGTATTACCCGTACGATCTCCTTCAAATTTGCGGCAATCTTCAACGTCGTCCCGTTTTATTTAGGCATGATAGCCATCGTCTCACTCACCTTTGAAAGTGAAGGCAAAACGTTTAAACGTAGACCTGTACGATGTTATCCAGCACAACTGAAGAAGAATCGACAAAGGACTGTACCAATCCCTAAGCGGCGGAATGTGATGGAATGGGTCAAACTGCAGCACGTGTAATCACCCCATTTCTTAGATACGTGCATGTTTTTTGTTGATTCGATCCGTAATTCCTCCGATGTTTTGAGTCCCATCAGAGACCAGAAGTATCCGTTGCAATGATCGTGATAATGCTCCCTACAAGAAGCTTTAAGATGTCGCAACAAACGTCTGACGTTCAACTGCGACGGTGTTTTGCAACTTGCAACGCGAATTTAGCCCGGCCCACGGGTCGACGACATCCCGCCGGCGCCGACATCCCCGCCGCGGGTGCGACTTTCGTGGCGCAGCGTCGCGGCCGCGGCGCGGTCGATAGCCGCCCAGCCGAGAGCGGCGGAACGGCCGCGAGAACTGATGCCGACCGTGATCGTGCGCTTCACTCACGGGCAATAAAGTCAAAATCCCATACGGATGGCTGAAGCCGATTTCGTTCCCGCCGCGGCGTCAAGCCAGCTCCAAGGCGATGATAAATCGTCAGGAGGGCGTGCTCATGCCGCTGGGCGGAGGCGATATTGGCAGTCATAAAACTGTTGCTCGCAAGCCAAGCCACCGGCTTGCCCCGCATCACCGGAAATGTCGAGATGCAAGTGGCACCTTCTGCTGTAATTCACGTCACATTTCCGTCTATGCCAGCACTCTAGCCGACGCTCCCATGAAAACTTCTCGGTATAAGATAAAGTTGCTGAATAACCAGTCGACATTGACGTTATTCTTTGGATCAAAGCCCCTGTCATCGTGGTCAGCAGTGATAACAAAGCACTAGCCCAGGGCTCATTTTAACAGCTTCGTTAGGTTGCCGGGTTATGACAGGACACAGCTGATTTTCAGAATCAAACCGCCCCCGAATATTCGACACTGAAGGCTGCAATAGGGACCTGCTATAGGTACTGTGCCAATGACATCAACACCTGTAATTCCTATCTCAGCAGTATTCACCAGTGCACATCAAGCGAAGTCATGCCAAATGATCATATCCCTGAAAGACTCAGGAGGTCTGGACTCGTACGGGGGCTTTTCACATGTCGAAATCTAGATCCCCGGAGTATCACTGAATTTATGACGCAAGTGTACCCAAAACCGACGGAAATCATGACGAGGGCAAGTGTAACCAAAACCAATGGAAATCACCCAGCCTCAAGCACTATCGAAGCGGTCCAGAAACTATCGCCTAAAATTATACAATGCTCTTCGATTATCTCGCAGGAATAAAGTCGATTTTACCCCACAAAATAACTTACGTTCTATGTGAGATCCGCACATTGAGCATATCCGCTACGATCTGAACATATAATGGGCGGATACCCTTCGCCGTAGTCTCCAACAGAGACCTTGGGTCTTTTTCACTAAGGAACGATGCAAAATTCCAGGGACTGCATCGGCAAGCAAAAAAAAAAAACGAAGGGCAATCGCTGAAACGTAATTATTAATTATGACCACATCCGAAATTAATGATAGAGTTCGATACCAGCAGAAAAGCAATCCCCACCATTTTGTTACATCTTTTGAACAAAAAAAAAGTGTTTGGGAGCATGACTTTTGGATTTCCAAAAACCTAGTAAATGAAAACTTAAAACAATGATATTGCTACAGAGGAAGACATAAACCCAAACGCACTTTTCATATCAACGAGCATACAGAAGTAAAAGAACAAAAAGTGGAAGCAAGCGACACACACACACGCACACGCACACGCACACGCACACGCACACGCACACACACACACACACACACACACACACACACACACACACACACACACACACACACACACACACACACACACACACACACACACACACACACACACACACACATATATATATATATATATATATATATATATATATATATATATAAAATCAAGTGCCAGGGCATACTCCGCTTAAATTTCACTCTCAGTGTCGTGTGATTTGGAGGGCATATGCAATAAGATGGTCGAAAAAGGTCACCACACCGAATGCTACATTCCGACCTGTTCAGAGAGCACAGTCTAAAATCCTGTTGATGCTCTTCCATGCCACAGGAAAAGGGATAGCCCGATATCCAATAACAACATTACGTGCTCCGGCGGGGACAGTTACACTGCCCCAGCTCCAGCCGAAAAAAACAAAAACCTTGCCCGGACCATAACCGCAAACGCTGGCTCGCACTGTGACGGTATTTGATGGTGGCGATCCCTACGCACCAAATTCTTGGTGATTTGAGTTTATTTCAGCCCATGCACATCAACCGGTAACATCAGCAAAATGCTGGCCAGCAAACCCCAGTTTTCATCAGAAGTTCACCATCCACTAGCGGCCCGTGGTCTTCGTCAGCCACAAGCCTACCAAGACCGACCAAGCGACTATCGAAGACGCCCCGCGCTCACCCAGACACACGCACCGCCCCCGACCGTCAGTGGGGGGGGGGGGGGGCAGATCTTCTCCAGCTCCCCGTCCGTCCCTCCGCTGGCGCGGCGCGGGCGGCGGCTCGGCGCGCCGCCGCCGTACGCACCTGTTTGTGGCGCGCCAGGCCGAGTTGGTTCCGCGCCATCACGTCCAGACCCAATTTTCATGTTATTGAACTGGGGCCGGCCGTGCCTTGTGCGGTCATGCCACACCGCACGCCGGCCCAACAGTGGGGGGGGGGGGGGAAGGGGGGGGGGGCGTGGCCCCGGTCACCGCCGCCGGCACAGGAGCTGAACGCCAGGGCACTCAAAGCGCGCGAGGACGGAGACCAAATCAACGCCCGACAAGCTACGCGTTCCGGGCTGGAGCTCGGTTATGGCCCGCGTTGACCTTTGGTCAAAATTTCGACGGCTGGTTCACTCTCTTGCGACATTCAACGTCGCCTCACAATCAATAAATGATAACAGTCAACAAGCCCCTGACTCGAAATCGGCCTGTTATAACAACAGGACCATTCAATCCTTTCGATTTCGACTAAACTTGGCACACTTACATTATCAAAAGATAAATCCCTAACAATGCATGATTTTACTTCTCAGTGACCTTGAGGTCGGAGTTACAGGTTATGTGGCGTTACTAGGTTGTGCTGACACTGCATCACTTTAAGGTG